AACGAACCAACCTTAGTTAGTGAGGTTCATGAAAGGCTCGACGTCTGGCTCATGCAGTTAAGTTCGTCCGAAAGAGTTTGGATTGCTTAACATGTTCTACCCGTCTGCTCCAGGCGGATAAAATGTCTGAGGATCGTCTCCAGGGCAAACGTCGATCTTCACATGCCACAAAGAAAACTAATGAAGTAATAATTTGTATCATAATGTATATTTAGTCTCGTTGGGGAAAAATTATTACTGACCTGATTTTGGTTTGACGCGTCCTACGTTCCAAGTCTGACCCAACAGACGATATTAACTTAATTTAGGTCGACCTAAGTAATTATAGTTTGGTTCGTTTGGCCTAAGACTGTCTTGGTTCATTATATTGTTTTGAATGGTCATCTTGGTATTTTTATTCGAGTTAGTGATACCTGTTTATAACTGTAATCTGAAATTGTCACGTGAACAAAGATGGAAGCCTGCTGATCCCCTTCCAGATGAACATGCCTATAACCTTTTGATAAATAAATGGAAAAAAAAAAACAAACTAATAAAGAACTAACAGAGAGTAATCATTGGACATCAACGCCCCCCCTTGGATCGTTTTTATGGAATCATGATGCAACACTGAAGTTTGAGACCATTTAGTTCAAGTTAACCCTTTGAACTTTAAGGGTCTGTTATACAAACATGCGCATGAAAGTGGTGTTGAGGCCTCAAATGTAATTAATGACCCTAAATGTAATAAAGGTCCTAAATGTCATAACTTTTGGCCCTAAGTGTAATGAAGGACCTAAATGTAATAACTTTTGGCCCTAAATGTAATAAAGGTCCTAAATGTAATAACTTTTTGGCCCTAAATGTAATAAAGGTCCTAAGTGTAATTCTTTCAGCTCTTATAATGCTTAGGGGTCATAAGAAGATTTCACAGTGTTTGCTTTCAGCCTTATTACAGGTTAACTGAGCGCAAGAATGTCTCTAGGGAATATTAAACACTAAATACCCCAGGCAGATCCCCTATATATCTATTTGAGTAACAACTTATTATTACTGATTCGTGTGGTGAAATCCGGGAAAAAAAGTTAGCAAAAAAATTCACTTCAAGAAGTACTCCTGGTAGAAATTAAAACCAAAGTCAGCAAGTCAGAAAAACTATATCAAGATATACTGCCCTTAATATCTTGCTGTTTATATATAACTTCGTGTTCACAGCATTCTGTATGGACCGACCGACATACTCTTTTGGAAAGTGATAAAAAGTAAATAAATAAACCATTTCTTTTTTTGGCGCAACATTAAGTAGATAATTAACTACGATTGTTCTAATGAACATTAATACTTCCTTCAATTACTAAATTACTACTGTATTTTGAAAACTTTTTTTTAGATTCCATTTGTTTATAACTCGCGTTTTACGATGTAGGGATGTAGTAGGAAACACGATCGAGACGTAGTTAATTTATAACTGTTTCTCCTACTTCTTGAGCGCTCTAGCCGCTCTCTAATTTTATGAATATCTATGAAGACTACAATAGGGCGAAGAAAGTGAATCGCCAGCTGGGTATAAAATTAATATCGCCATCAGACCGTCGCATGTTTCAGTCAGGGACTTTATCAAGTTTGGGGCTGTTATACTACATACACGCAGTATACTGATAAGACTTCCAATACATTTAGGGTTAAAACCTACTACACATATAATATTATGAGACCCTTTATTACATTTAAGGCCAAAAGTTATTACATTTAGGACCTTAATTACATTTAGGGCCAAAAATTATTACATTGAAGGTCATTTTTTACATTTGAGGCCTCAACAGTGGCTCCCACCTTCTTTTTAACCTCTTAGTGAAATCATATAAGTGATCGTCTGGTTGAGCAAAGATATTAATGTTTACACAAGTCACTTGTTAAAGATGATAATAGCATTATATTATTAGGATTAATTTGCACATTTTACCTGGCATCAGACTTGAAAAAGGATAAGTAACTTGACCAATAAAGTCTCTTCCTATAGGATCCTCGTCCCAAACCACAAACCGAACAATTGCCAGTTCCGGAAAAGTCAAAATAAAGCTGATGGTGTCCTCCCAAACTGGATTAAATCCTGCAAAGTACGCAAACATTACTTACAGGTAGGCCAAGGCCAAATGTCGAACTTTTCATGAGGCAAACGAATGAAATTGTAATTTGGGTAAATCTAAATTAAGTTAAGTTCGTCTGTCCCGACAGAAGTTGAACTAATGAAGTGTCGAACCAATCAGACTGATCATCATCTTAGGAGATGGATTTAAACGATTTACTTTTCATGAACTGCAAGTGCTCTAACCCCATATTTTGATTCTTTTATTCATGAAACGTTTGGCGTCTTTTAAAGAGTTGCATGGTGCAGGAACAATTTTTCTCATTTTCCAGTTAGTTTTCCACGCACTTGCCGCAAAGGTAGACCATCACATGGAACTCACCGCAGCAAAGAAAAGTGCCCTTTATCGTGAAAAAATGTTCCTAAATCATACAATTTGTCTAAACAAAACCTGAAGTGCGAAAACGTTTTGACAATAATGAAGGCATTAAGTTAAGTTCTTCGCTTTGGGTAAACTGCCTCCTGTCATGAACAATTCCGATGAACATGAGGCAATTAATCGCTTTGCTAATTTTATCAGCTGATTCAGTATGTATCGAAAATCTTTAACTACGGCATACCATTGTCCATGACTGTTTTAGTGCGGTGTTTGCAACTGTCAGCAGGGATCCCTATCAACTCTACTTCCACGTATGGATCAATAATCTGCAATAAGAGGCGACGAAAAATCGAATATTTCATTTTAATTTGGGGCCTAATGTCAGCTCCTTTCATAATTGTTTTAGTTACTATTTAACCACTTCACTGAACTAAGAATAACCAATGACTGACGCTGATATGAGCTGTGCTGAATTCTATTTAAGAAAATAGTTAAGGTATAAACACTTTGATAGTTATTCAAAAAACGTTAACCACCAGCACCACCACCACTACCACCACCACCAACAACAACAGCTAAAACAATTCTATTTCACACATTTTGCAAGGGTCATTATCTTGACAACGATAAACCATAGTATGTAAGGTAAGGAGTAACACAAAGTCAAATATATATGTAATCATTTTAATTTGAGCATGATTTGCATTTGATTAATAATTACCTCTCCGCGGTCTCCCAATATGCTATCTTTCGGCTTCGGTAACTGTTGACCACTTATGACCTGAGAGAAATAAAGGTGAAGTTGACAGAATCCTCGAACGTAGTGAGCCAATTCATGTAACTCCCCTACCGTAGTAAAAGCATGAATGGTGCGTTGCCCCTACCCCTTTTTTCGTTGTATTTATTTTTTATTTAGTTACTGCTACTTTAAGCAAAGTTGTAATACTTTGCAAAGATTAAACTTGTTATGGGTAGCTTAAAATCTGACATCTGAGATCTACATAAAATTCAGATTTAGGCAAATATATAGTACTCCATGCGATAGGGAATACAGCCAATCAGAAAGCTAGAAACCCGCATATTCTGCGGTATTCAGAATCGATTTTTTTTTGCTTAAAAATGGTTCATGTTCCCTATTAACAGTCCTGGTCAGCAGTCGGCAAGCAAAATGGACGCCTTTTAAGCTGTCTGTCCAAATTCCATGATCTTTTTCGCCTTTTCTGTCATAGTTTGTCTTCTTCGTTGTTTTGTAATATTTTGATATAATGGCTGTGTACGTTACACTTGAGGAGCTTGATAAGTTATTTCCATCGAAAACTGAACCCGATTTAGAGCTCGTTGAACTTCAATGGCGCCGAGTGTAGTTAACTGTTGAAACTAACGAGTGGACAAACTCAGGAACAACCTCGTTCCCAGGTACTCGACGGGTAAGAGAGAACGCTGGGAACGAGGTTGACTCGAGAAGACCGTGAAAGCTGTTGAGCTGTACGACTTTTACTCAGATGATTTGCCTAGCACCAGTTTTAATAACTTTAAACCCGTTAGGCTAAAATTTGCCAGTTAAGCCTCCTCTATATATAAGACCTTGTTAAGCCTAAAATTTGAAATAGGTTATTGTTTTCTAAAATCTATGAAAAAATTATGTACATTTGGGCAAATAAGATAAGGCAACATTCAGAATCCCCTTTTGAGAGATGGGTGCCTTCTCACTTTACTGCAATGTAAATGCGAATGTTTATAATCAGATAAAAGTGTCATCAATACATTACAATAAATGTATGTTCTAAAGTATAACTTCAAAATTCTTGACGTCTGCTTTTAATTTAGTTCTTCTTTTTATGGTGATTTTTACATAACTTCTAATTAATGGCATGCAGATTTTATTTGAGGAATAAGCTGAACCACTAAATACTCTTAGCTACTTTGTATATAAACAAGGTTTAAAATGTCTGCGCGCAGGCTACATTTAAAGGGACTGAACTAATCCTGCCGCGGTACATAACAACCGAGCCAGTCCAGCTGGTTAGCAACTGTGGAATCTGTGTATCGTGATGCCATGATCTTTTCTTACCGTGCTGGAAAGTTTCCAGAACCTAGAAATATCTGCCAAAATTTACAACTTTCAAAAATCATAAAAACATAAAGGAACACACTACACGACAAACCTTTTTCCCACATCTACTCAGAACAACTGGAAGATTGAAATAAGCGAAAAACATTTCTGGGGTGAGTTACGCCCTTGTATGTATGTATGCATTTATGGAGCCAAATATAAATAACCGACTACTTTCAATTTGTCTAGATGGCTGGAAATGAATAGACAGGAAAATTCCACGCATACCACAAATTGACCACAAGGAGTATTTAAGCCGAGATTGCCAAACAGTTCAAGTTAGTCATTCGGTAACTCGACGTTCGACGCATGGCAGTTGCTTGTCTGCGTCACAAACGTAATTTAAGCCCTCTTAGTAACGTCTGCAAAGTAGCGCCGAACTCCTTGTTCTGGGCCCCCAAGATTCCTTTCAAACTGATTGGCAAATCGACAATGACTTTCTAAGCAGGCCAATCATGGCACGTAATCAAATACTGGTAAGGTGGGAGCCCAAGGATTTCGGCGATGTTTCACAGGTGGACTTAATCAGAGTTTAATTTGGCATGTGGCGCAGCCATGGTAGTTGCAGTAGCTGAAAAAAGCAGTTATATGAAAATCTCAAACAGCCGGTAACCATTTATAATTTTGGATTTGCTTTATCAAAACTAAAATACAATATAGCAAAAAAGCTGATGTTTCCTGTGAATAGGATAAACGACTTTGATCGTTCATGCGAACCCGGCTTTTGCACTAGTACGCATGAACGAGCTGACAATAAAACTAAATAAAAGAAGAATCCCTTCTTTTGATTCGTTTCTTAAATTTAACCCCTCCTGAATATCTTCTTCCGGGCTTAGACACCTCAAGACTCTCTTGAATCTACAAATGAAGAAAAATTAACACTAATTATATATCATCAACTTTATTAGTTTCTTCCTTCATGCCCTTTCTTCTTTGTATTTTAATTACGAGAAATGATTTTTTAGAGGCTCTGGGTTAGATTTCAAACATAGCTGGGGCCAATTTAGGGTAGCTATGGTTTTCAGACACTAAAACAGTGGTTATTTTTGTAAAATACACTTGTAAACGTTTTGTCAAATTGATCCTTGCTTAATGATTTGAACTGTCATCCGAGAGATGGAGATTTCATTTTATTCAACGGATTAACCCTCGGACATACGTACACGCAAATTCATACCCCCGCCGTGGTACCTTCAGTGCAAAGCTTTTGATCCTCTCAACAAGGTGAGGTATATATTATGTGGCGCCGCTAAAGGCCTGTGACGTCACCAAATTTGGTCGTCATCTTGGATTTTACCAAGACTAAAAACATCAGGTAGAAATCGCAAGAACTGGTAATTTTCTGTGCTTGAAATGTAAAATAACACATAAATAAGTACTTTGCATCATTTTTCACAACTTCTGCTTTTAATGTGGAAAATTATGAAAAAACATACATTTTTACTCAAAAATGGCTTGACCACCTGCTACTTATGACGTTATATCTCGAAATTATCGTAACTGACCGCACCAAACTTGTCTCAAAACAAAAGAAACGTCTGGTGCTATTGTTTTCT